TAGCAGTAGGAGGGAGCAGGCTGGGTGTGATTTTCACGAGGGAGAGAGAGCTGCTCTGAGAAGAGGAATTGGGGAAGAAGAGGTCTTGTCCAAAGGATAAGATTGAGCATTGTCGGTGGAAGGGGCCCACATACGGGGACATGGCTCCACATGCGTGGGCGCGGCGTGGCACGCGAGTCTGCATCCAGCGAAAGCATTCACGGTCGGTCGTTCACAAACATTATACTTTTTGAAGTCGCTACGGAGGCTGCCAACACTAAACCCTCTAGCGTTGCACAATGTCAAGGCAACCTTTGCCACTGGTGTTACCTTGACATGACCTCCAGGCTCCAGACGTAGCCTTACGCTGGTGCGTTGTAGCGTGATGCTTCCAATGGTCGAGATCTTGACCTCAACTACTCCACGAAAAGTGGCCTAAGCGGGGATGAAGCCAGTGTGCCGAGGAGCGCGTCCTACCGCACCTCGAAAAGTGGCGCTAGTCCGGCATCCGCCTGGGTGGCGTCAACGGGCTTGCAAGGGCGCGTCTGAATGGTCCACCGAAGGTGAGCGTGGGGGTAGGGGAGACCTCAAACCATGGCGGTCTTGCCGCCAATGACAGTGGCAGCAGGAGCACTGTTGGCGAGCAGAGCTCCAACCCTGGAAGCACACATGGCCCATGGCTGATGACGTCATCCAGTTGGCGAGCAGAACTCTTTTTTTTTACTTTGCATGTATTCTTGCTCACATCGTTCTCTCGTTCTGCCACATCAGCCTGTTGGCATGCTTTCTGTGACAATTGTCCGTAAGTGGTACATTTGACTTCACCATCGTATACATAGACTAATAGTTACATGTGTATATGCAGGTCAACAAAAATCGATGGATCGTGTCCATAGCATCTAATCAACCGGGATATACATTTATTTACTTGAACTTTTAAATTCAGACCATTAAAATTTACAATCAATGGATTAGATATTTTTAGCATATGTGAAATGAATGTGGCGACTTATTTGCTTCTTGTTTCAGTAATTATATACTACTAATAAATAGACAGATTTGCTAGGTGTGAGTAACAAGAAGATGATATTCACATTTACTTTTTCTCTACCATTTTTCGAAGGCTGCATGCATAGTTGATGGTTCTTTATTCCCTAGACGATCAGAATCCGTTAGGATCGGTCAAGATCTATACATGAAATACACAAGATTTAATATGCACAAGATTTGCACAATTACTATCCGATTCACCATGCAGCACGAAATTTCCAGTGACAACCTTCCCTAAATGTTGTTCCACTAGCGTACGTCCACGACGGGAAAATTCCCTATATAAGGAGGTCCATCGCTACATACCTAGGACACTCGCAGTAACCACACAACAATGGAAAGAGCACTTGAGATGATGCTACTCGTGGCCATTGTGCTGGCCGCCACTACGTTGGTGGCGCTCGGCATGGACATCAAGGACAAGGACCTGGCGTCAGAGGATTCCTTGCGGGCGCTGTATGAGCGCTGGTGCGAGCACTACAGGGTGGCACGCGACCTCGACGACAAGACCCGGCGCTTCAACGTGTTCAAGGAGAATGCACACATGATCCACAAGTTCAACCAAGGTGACGCGCCCTACAAGCTCAGCCTCAACCTCTTCGGCGACATGACCGATGAAGAGGTCCATCGCGCATATGGTCACTGCTCCAACATCAAGTCTGATGGCCGTAAGCATCGGCAACAGGGCCGGTTCACGGACGACGCCATCAACGCCCGCAAGGGCCTCCCGTCATCCGTGGATTGGCGCAGACGCCCATCGGCGGTGACGAAAGTGAAGCTACAAGGAGTGCATTGCGGTTCCTGCTGGGCCTTCGCGGCAACGGCGGCGGTGGAGGGCATCAACTCCATCAGGACACGGAACCTGACGTCCTTGTCCACACAACAACTCGTGGACTGCGACAAGGGAAACGGGGGGTGTAAAGGAGGATTCGCGAAGTTAGCCTTCAAGTACATATAATGCAATCGGGCGGCATCGAAACAGATGCTAAGTACCCGTATGTTGGCCATGAGGACGGCCACTGCTCGGTGCCCAAGCCAAACCGGGACACGGTTGTCACCATCGATGGCTACAAACAGGTGGCGCCGAATGCGGTGGTGGCGTTGGAGCAGGCGGTGGCGGCCCAACCCGTGGTGGTTGGAGTTGATTCAAACTCGACAGCCTTCCAACGCTATGGGCGAGGTGTCTTCGTGGGGCCATGCGGGACAAACCTGGACCACGAAATGACGGTGGTGGGCTATGGCACCACCGATAAGCACGAGTATAAGACTCCCATAAAATACTGGATCGTGAAAAATTCATGGGGGGCAAACTGGGGTGAAAACGGCTACATCCGCATAGCACGCGAGGTGAGAGGTCAGCCCAAGGAGGGCATCTGTGGCATCCTCAAGGACGCGTCATACCCAGTGAAATTTAGTAGGAAAGGTGGAAATGATATCATGAAGAGAAATTAACGATCTGTGTATAGGTAGCCATTTTAACATCCCCCCAAACATATATGGACCGCTCATGTGTTCTATTATACAATAAGAAAGGCTAGCAGAACGAAGAAAAGGGAAAACAATTCCCCAGCTCGGCGAACAAGCGAAGCAATCGTGCCCCCCGCTCAATGTGTCTAGCGATATCATCGCTAATCTTCCAGCGATGCTGCCCGGTACCAATTACATGCCCGACGACGATTCATTTTTTGAAACAATGGAGGTGGACACATTAAGATTCCGGCACGGGAAGCCTCTCGTCAAACCTGGTACTCCTCTAACAACGATGATGCAAAGATTCCATGATTGGTACATGGACATCTGCAGGAAGTCTAGGACGATACTTTGACGCTGAGAGTTAAAGAGGAACATGACCTCGTTGGAATTGATCTGTTGTTTCTTCCATATGAGGAGTTCTTCCAATTTTTCAATCAAAAGGCCCTCGATAAAACAATCATCACTTGCTACTGCCTGTAAGTACTACTTCTCTATAATTAATTAAGTCTCTATATATAGCTCAACTCTTTCATTGCCTGTATATATAATTATCCTCACTATATATATTATGCAGATTGAAGATCGCCGAATTGAAGAAAACACAAGTAGGTGATATTGGGTTCATTAACACAAATCTCATGGATGAATGGAATGTTAAACATGATCCCAAAGATGCCGAGGCCAACTTGCTACGATTGTTACTTCGGAATCAAAACAAAGATACAATACTCTTTCCTTACGAATACAGGCGAGTGTTACTGTCTTGTGCATATTCGGTTCCCTTATTACTTGAGGTTATAGTAATGTAATTGATGAGTTATGCATGCGTAC